ATAGAAACACTCATTTTTAACACTCGATTTTAACTACTATCATTTTACACCTCAGAGTTACATTAAAAGAATGTGACTCTACTTACAGTAAAATTAACTCTACTTTTGCAAGAAGACTACTAACACCAAAACATTTAACACTTTTGAATTTGCTGTGCACGTTCTATTGAGAGGGGTCCTGGGTTCCTCTTGTTACTTACTACTGATACTCCCTTTTTGATGCTTGTGACATGAAATGTGCAATAAAATAGACTATATGGAAATGAACCACAGACAAGCAGGTCAATTATAAATTCAACTCCACTTTAGTAATGATTAGCTCCAATAACAGAAAAGGTAAGGTATCTAATATCAACTGTAACCAAATAATTAAATAATATGGTGGGCCCACACACACTCTCACCGACACACACACCTTAACTGCAACAGTCTTTCTGTGTTAGCAAACACCTCGTTGCAGGCCTGAGTCGTGGCTCGGGTGCGTTGGGACCTAAAACAACATGGCCGCTTCACTTGTTGTCAAGCACTAAAATAAAAGCACGTGCAAACGACAGTACTCATGGCTCCAGGCAGTTCAAGGGGCTAGTCGGGGAAACTGGGTCAAGGCCACCAGCAAGGCACAGCAGCAGCACTCACAGCTGCTGTATTCACATATTCTCACGTTAACACATAAGAAAAACAGAAGGGACCTCTCTGGCCTGCCAGCAAAGACCTCTGTGTCCTCCTACTGAATTAAATAACCCTGCTAAAGTCCGATTTACATACTGTTACATACTCTGTCAGCAATATTAACATTTGCTAAATACATGAGTACAGAGCAGGACATGAGCTAAGCAAACATACTAGGCTAAGTTAGCGGCTAATCGCAGCTAACAGTCAGCCCGTTTTACATGGCAACTTAAGACACAAGTTTCAAACAAAACTCAGATTCATATTTACCTCGCAGTAGGGTCAGTGTTATGCACAGCTACAATGAAACTGCAGCCAAAAAGCATTTTGATGAAAAAAATGTGATGACATAAATTAATTTTGTTTTCAAGGAGTGTTTGCAGAAATTGTGAGGAAGCGTCTTCACTCACTGTTAAAGGATTATGAGGTCAACATCCCCAATCCAAAAAGCTGGGTCCTGAATGAGGCATCTAATGTCATTTCTCTTCAAGAAGGAGGGACATTTCTGTAAGTTTCTGTAACATTTGCCTCATGCCATACCTTTTTTTTGGGGGGGGGGGTATTTCATACATCACTTATTCATCATTTATTGAAATACATTTTATGTCAAATGTAAAATACACAACTCCAAACAAGACACAACAGTTACTTGTCTCACCTGTAACCCTGGGTTGATATCAGCAAATGTCAGGCTGATTTTGTGAAAGTTGCATGAATATTTCTTTCAGGCACACACTGTGGAGGAAAATCCAAGCGGTTGTCACTCCACTTCTGGCCTACTTGGTCTCCATCATTGACCGAGATTGCAATATGGACCTTCTCTTGGATGATGAAGAAGATATCAGGAACCTCTGGCTTGAAATTTTTGGGAACAAAGAGATGCTCAGTGTGCCGTATGTGAGGGTGGAAAGGTATCTTTTGGTTATGGTATTTGCTCATATCAGATTGGACCCCTTTGCCTTCAGAACTGCCTAATTCTTGTGCATATTGATATGATAGCATCACACAGTTGATGAAGATTTGTTGGTTGCACATCTCTGATGTCAATCTCCCACATCTATTGGATTGAAATTTGGTAACTGTGGAGGCCATTTGAGTGCAGAGAATTCTTTCTCATGCTCAAGAAACCACTTTGTGATAATTTGATCTTTGTGACATAGTGCAAAGCAGCCATCAGATGGGTACACGGTCATCATAAAGGAATGAACATTGTCACCTGTAATACGTAGGCTATGGTGTTTAATTACATGTAGTTGGTACTAAGGGGCCCATGGTTTGGCCAAAGGATATCTCCCACACCATTACACCAGCAGCAGCTGGAACTATTGATACAAAGTAGGATGGATCCATAAGGGTGCAATAGAAGAATTTGACACTCTCCAGCTTTGGCAAGTTCATACAAACGTTAGCCTCACTTGCTTGTTCTTAGCTAACAGGAATTGTATCCAGTGTTGTCTTCTGCAGCTTTAGAAGCCCACCTGCTTTAAGATTTGATGTGTTTGTGTTCAGAGATGCAACCCTAGCAATGATTATGTTTTAAAATACCAATTGATGATCAGGTTGTTTTGTCAAAATGCACTGAGTTACTGTCTTTGGCTGATTAGAAAGTTAATGAGCAGCTGAACAATTGTAACTAATTAAGTAGCTGGTCAGTGTATTCAGTGCAAATTGTTTGACTTTGGGGTTTTTTAAGGGACAGTCTTTTTAAATGATCAGTGGTAAAATTACTCTTGTCAAAGTGGTTAATTTTCTGGCACATCATCTATTTAAAAATAGCATTTGTAAAAAAAAATAATAATCTTGGCCCTCTTACAGAGTATTAATGGTACAAAGCCACATCACAGGTGGCCACACCATGTGCTGCCGCATGCCATTCAGTTGGTGGATCAAAGACTTCCTAGATGGGCTCATGATGCAAGCAAGACAATCAAAACATCAAAGTAAATATGCCTTGAAGTTGTGCTTTAATTGTTAGTTTAAACCTTTTTTTAAATTGAATCCTAATATATTAATGGAACTCTTACCTTTTTAAAAATTTCTTACAGAGCATTCGTTTGGGGATTTCCATGATTTGTTCTTGAAAACTCCACTTGGCACTTACATGGCAAAAAATGTGAATGAAAAATTGAAAAAAGAATTTTTCAAAAAGTACCTGCAGGATTTCGTTTCCATGACCATGAAAGTGGCATCAGATGAAAAATTAGAGGTGAGATGAATGAAGGAAAATGCACAATAACTGCCTCCATTAGTACAATGTGACTTTTCATTTCCTCAAATATAGGCTTGCTGCATGTTTTCTTGAAAATGCTTATGTTCGATTAATGTTACCTTTGGTTTGAGGTAAATCCCACTACCCAACAACATAAAATCCAATAAGAAGAAAAAAATCACTGCACAAACTTTTCTCAGTTGTCACAACCGTCCAGTTTACTACACTCTAATATAGTGGAGCAATTAGGATTAGCTAAATCTTTTCATCAAAGTACTGGTAAAAACTAATCATTAAAGGTAACTTTAAAGGTTCAAATAGAAGTTTGCTGGAATGAGTGTGGAAGTATTATAATGCATAGCAACAATGTGGAGCAGATCAAAGCAATGCTTTGTTAATTACACTTTGTATTTGGTGCTTTACATGGCTCTGAGTGGGACATAATCCATTCAGAATTTTTTCAATCAAAATAATACATTAAATGTAATGCCAGTTTAAGTTGCTAATATTCCAAACAAATATTGTGTCAGTAATCTACTTGGGCCTTTACTCCTCAGCTACTTTGTCAGGCCATGGCCAGCTGTGTTGACGAAATACAGAGACAAAAACGAGATGATGAGCTTTCTCTACCGCTCATCCACATTGCCTATCATTTTTGCCAAAGCCGTCTTCAGAACCTTTCACGGATGATTTCTCTACACACTGAAATTGTTTCACCTTTGCAAAGAAACCAGCAAATTAGACGTTGTCCTGAAATGGTAAGTGTATTTCTTCATTCCTGGTGCTCTGAGAATTTATTTATAAAATTGCCTTTAGGGTGTGGATATTTTTTAACAATCATAGAACTGTTCAAAGGATATTATAAATATTAGAAAACTGCTTAATCACTTGCAAACTGTTTTGTTCTGCTGTAGGTTTTGGATGTCTATGCAGCCAAGGCATGTGTTGAAAGCCTGGAACCTTGTAATTTAGAGAGTGATACCCACTGCCAGCATTGGCTGAGGAAGGTGAAGAAAGTGCAGGCTTCACTGGAATTGATTTGCTCTCAAAATAATCTTCAACAATATGGTGAGCACTGCAAGAAAGTACTCCGTGATGTCAGGTAAGATACTGATGCAGTGAAAGTAGAATTTTGTTGCCCACTTCTCTCTAGTGTTGACTGAAAGAAACTACGAAAGATTTTTGTAGTTATTTATTGTAATGACTTCTTATGGGGATTTTTTAATGCAGTATATTCTTATTTTAGCAAAGATGCAGCACACCTATTTAAACACAAGATCTGTGACATTAAAGTGTCAACCTGTGCTTCCCCCCATTGCTAACCAACATGTTTAGTAAATCCTAGCACAGGTGTAAAATGCTGACTTTGATAGTGCTGTAGGGGTGGGTGATATAGCCCTAAAGTCATGTCAAAACATTATAAGAAAATCTGTAATAATGATATTTCTGATGATATAGAAACAAAAAATGTAACTTTTTTTTTGTGTGATTGCAGCTTGCGGGCAGCAACATGTATGAGTGCAAATAAAATAAAGGGCATTGTCCTCTTTTCCAATGAGCTGCTGTCAATGATGACACAATCTCATTTTAAGTGTGAATATATTGCCAGTATAAATGACCCAGTATAAGTCAAATGTAAGCACAAAAGTAGCCTACGTAATATCTTCCTGGAAATTCTAAGTATGAAATAACCACTAGTACTAGTTGAACACTAACTAAAGTAACTCAACTCAACTGTGTAATTCTACAATGCTGCACAGTATCATCACATAATAAAACTGAAAATTATTTTCTATTTGGGACATTGTATGTTGGGTCAAGCTTTTCAGCCAACTTCTTGTCCTGCTTTACCACTATGTGACCACAGCATAAATTTCCATCCACCGCTGGCTCTTCCTGATAATTAGCAAGTGTAGCTTGTTGAGTCGGTTGTTTACATTTGGGTGGCACATCAACAGCTACTAGTATCTCCTTCTTCATAGTCTTCCATATTTTGTACTCTGCTTTGTTATTGGTTATTTAAGTAGCTCCATGTTTTTTACTCAGTTGTCTTTAGAGGCTGACACGGAGCTCAGTCGTGCCTAAGCTTATCTTGTTGTTTGAAGCATTAATATTTTATATCACATAAAAATTACCAGGATGATATGACACAGCTCTATTAGTGTATATATATATAATCAAGAACATACTAACTTTGATCATGGTCTGTAATATTTTGCAGTCATGGTTGGAAGCGCATCTACATCCTCTCGTTGTTTGTGGAACATTTGATGCTGGGTTTCCAAAATGAAGACAATCAGCTCAGGACACTGGTCCTGAACCACATTAAAACCCTTAGTAGAGTAAGTGTGTTTGTGTATATGTGTGTGTTTGTTTTTAGTTTATGTTTTGTTTTGTTTTAAACAAAAGGTCACAGTCACACCTAATCAAATAACCAATCATTATTCAGTGCAAATTGTTTGATTTAGGTTTAATTTACAAAATGAAAAGACCTCTGTATTGTCCAATACATCAGCAATTTTGCCTACGCAAGATGATGGAGGCCCTCTTTTTGTCTGTAACCTGTCCATATTGCACAGAAGTCTGTTTTAATGAGACAAAGCACCTTAGTTGGGCATAAGATTGTTTTGTTCTTCTGTCTTAAATAAATTAATATAATGATTATAATTACTGTATTCTTTATTATTTTAACCTATGTTTAAGGCTGTGGAGACACACTCGGATGTAAAGTCTACACAGGCTTTTGAAGCAGTAGTTGAAGTCCTGAAGTCCTGTAAACAGGGGGCAACTAATCAGATTTTCAGGTAAAGCCTTGTTTTGCTTTAAGCTGGCCTTTAAATTAATTTATATGAAATATGGAAGAATTTAAAGGTAATTTGATTGATGTTGGTTGCATTTTCCTGAAGGTTTGGAGGTGAATGTGGGGTGTGCATGAGAGAGCCTCTAGAACCAGTGGGGCTGCCATGCTATCACATCTACTGCTTAACGTGTATCAAGGAAAGCCTTGATGCAGGACCGGCGTTCTGTCCCACCTGCCGCCAACAATTACCAGATGACTTCCAGCCACATGTTTCTGAAGACACAAGGTGAGATTGTTTATTTGTGTAAATAGCTGATAACACACGTGTAAACATTCACAGGAATTGGCTGTTTTTCACATTCATAACTATACAGCTGCTTTATATTACAACCTTCTCAGAAATACCTTAAACAGCTTTAAACTTAAAGAGTATGTGCAAAGTTTTTCAATCTTAAGGCTTCAGCAAAGGTTCAATCCAGAGTGCTGACATGATACGTGTTACAGGCTTATCCTACTAGAGTATTTGAAGGAATTACCTAATTGATAATAAGTAGATATGCAAAACATCTCACAGGTGGAACCTACTACTGTCTGTATGCGTCAGGGTAACAAGATTGGCTCCTTTTGCCCCTTCCCTGGTTCAAACTGTTATGGCAGGATTGCCATATTTGCCTTTATGAAATATAGTTACAGGCTGCCACTTATAAGCGATGTGTCACCCATTCGTTCTACAACATTTTCAAATATAGCAGTACAGTGGCTTGTTGCACTTTTGCCTCACAGCAACATGGTCATGGGTTCAAACCTGGGTAAGGTTGTTCTTTGTTGAGGTTGCATATTTAACCTGTGCTTGTGAAGGTTTTCTCTGGGAGCTCAGGTTTCTTCTGCTGTGAAAATAAAAATTAAGTTAATGCTATGTCATCCCAGGACACTCTTGCAAAAGAGAGTCTCAATCTCAAGAGTTTCACTTTATAATTAAATATATTGTTTTGTAGTGTGCATAAAACACAGTATCAGTAAGCACATTGACATCCTGAGAGAGAATCAGTTCTGGGGAATCAGGTTACAAAGCTTAACGTTTGGCATAGTGCATATACAAATGCTTAATTTACATTTTGTATCTCTCCAGAGCATCTATCAAGAAAAATGCAGGATTCAGGCAACGTTGCAACGGTTTCTTTATTGATCTGCTCTCTACTATGTGCTTCAAGGACAATACACCTCCAGATGGAGGTGTCATCGCCCACCTTTTTTCCTACCTGATGACTGAGACAGGTACCACTTTGGGGGGTTTTCACCTTCTTCTCTAAAGAATCTGGAATCCAGGGATAATTTCTCATGTGATCACTACAACCATAAATAATATAAATCATTTCCTTCCAGATTTCAAAAATTACAAAAAAGTGATCAAAATCTGCTAGAATAAATTACTCTTGGTCTTTTTTAATGTTAACTTTAGATTATTTTCCAAACAGATCAGAAAGAGATTCACACCAAAGCTTTATCACCTTTTGACGAGTCTCCAGATAAAAACCCAGTTGTGCGATCTGTAATTCTCAAACTGCTACTGAAATTCAGGTAGGCATCCTACTATAAATATGTCACTGTAAAATTACTCTTAGTCTGAATTAACATAGATGTTTCAATGTTTTGAGCAGTGTTGAAAAGTTTCTCAGCATTGGGAATTTTGCATGTTTAGTGATAAAATGTGTGAAAAGACTTGAACTTGTTTACCTTACCCTCTATGATTGACCTAACTGTGTTTCAGCTTTGAAGAGGTCATGAAATATTTGCAGCAGCATTTGTCATCTGTTGAAGAAAGCAGATTTGTTGATGATGTGGATAAAACAGAGCTCTATGCCTTATACATCAACTGTTTGGAGGTAAAACTAGAAAAAAACCTTTGGAAATAATATGTAATAGTGTTACATTATACAAATAAACTGATGAGAAGAAGGTTTCTCCTTTTTAGGAATAAAAAAGGATTTATAAAGACATTTTTTTAATTTTTCTAAAGCAAGTGGTAACTGAAGAATAACCACAACCTTTTAGGGAGCATGTATTATTCTCCAAAAACAAAAGTCTCTAAAAGGACATCTGAAATTCTGTTTTCTACTGTTTGGTCTTTTTTTTACTTATAGTTGTGAACATGAACGTGAAACCCACTAACATAATGTAAATATTCTCCTTCTGGAATGAAACTTAAACTAGTGATCAGCAGAAGGAGGAGTCCTCTGTGCTGGATTTAATGTAAATGTAAAAGTAGTTTCAGTCTACTGGAGTTGTTTATGTATTCTCAAACATATGTAGTTATCCAGCTATATCTGAACAGGGCACAGTTTGAATACCAGCAGTATGACAAACTCCTTGGTTTTTTTGCTTGTTGCTGATAGACGTCAGATGAAGTGACAGTTAACTGGTGATATTTGCAGGACTCCATCTGGGAGAAAATGCCTCAGGAGGGCAACAAAGCTGCAGAGTTACAGTGTTTCATTAATGAAACACAGTTCCTGCAGTCCTTTTTGGCTGAAGTCACTTCTGCCCCAGCAACAGTCTCTATTCAACACCTCCAGCATATTGCCCGACTGCGTGTGACCCTCATCATGGCTTCCCAGCTCATCAGTGACAGACTGTCAGGTGAGATATAACTTCACTACTGCATTGAACTACTATAGTTTCCAGTGCTTAGGAACTAAAACAACCAGTCTGTCATTGTTGCAGGCAACCATGTCCCAGATGGAGCAGAAGATTTTCTAAACATGGTGATAAAGCTCTGTAAGGACAGTGGGAATAACTGGTACCGTGTTTACCTCATCCGCAAGCTCAGCGAATCACAGGGTGTTGAGTACGTTCAAACGATGGTGAAACAACCTGAGTTCTTCTGGCTTTTCCCTGAAGAGATACTTCAGCAGGTACTTCAACAGTCATGAGTTATTTTACTGGCAAAAATATGAGTCAAAAAATAAATTCATGTACTTTTCTCCAGAGTATGAAATTACATCAAAAGTTATTTCATGGCACTTTATTATATAAGGTAAAGATCCTACAACATTTTAGACAGAAGTATAAGCCGTAGTATCAGGTGAATGATAAGAGGTAGAAACGTTTGTACTGGGTTGTTGTCGGGAGGGGGATGGAAAAATACTAAAGGACAGTCATTGGAGTAATGGCGGGGCCGTGTCTCAATATGTGTACTTGTGTGTTCCTGCGTTCTCGTGAACTTGTGATACGTCATCTGTCGGAAACCAAGTACTGTTCCAATTCAAAGTACGCATCAAGCCGAGAACGATAAAAATTTCCAGATGTGCCCTCGCTCCTTCCATTTTATCGAGCATGCATCGGTTGTGACTTGTGCGGACTTGGTACAGCCAAATATCCCAGAATGCATTTGGTCCAAAACTCAAACACTAAAAACTTTTAAATACTACTCTTTCTGCATCACAAAATAAACTTTTAAGTTATTTTCAGGAGAAAATGTAGCTCTGTAAACTTCAAATATGTGCTTGATTTATCAAAACATCACATATTTTCAAAAGTGCTCCGACATTTTCTGAGACGTTTGTTACACACCAGCTTGATAGCAGACCGGGAGGTCAAGGTTCACTAGAGCCGACGAGAACAGCGGACTCACGACACATCGTTTTCAAAACCACTGTGGTCTTTCACTACTCAGGTTAAACATGATATACAAGTCACTTAGATAAATGTTAATGTTTGGTTTATTTCAGTGTTCTATTTGTTCCTGAGTAAATTGATTTGGCTGAGATTAGCTGACTCTGAATTAAATCTAACATTAAAAATATTTAAATTCAGGAGGAAACATTTTCACTGGGAACAAAAACAGCATGTTAATAAGTTGAGATTCTGAAGGCTGTTCCAAACATGATTCGATTATATATTAAATATTTGTCTAAGTCCCTTCTAAAACCCCAGCTGTCTATTGTAAGTTTTGAGTGTCTACTAAAGTAAAAATAAAAGTGTTCTAACATCTCAACTGTTTTAATTCAGGCATATATGTAAGCTTGTGTTTCAGTCATGTAGTGATTGTGCTTAACTGTATGAGGCTTATTAGACATTATAAAACAGATGATATGTAAGCAATGTGTAGCAAATTAGTGCTTAAGATACTTTTTTTAATTATCTTATTTCTTTGAAAAAATCTACTACATCATGTGTATTTTTTTTTCATGTCATGTGTAATTTCCATTGCAAATATTAATCACAGTTAAATCAAGAGAGGACAGCAGTAAAAACTCCAGAGCTGTGATGTCATCAGGTATACTGCCGTTCCAATTGTAGAATGATCAAGAGTCACACGTTCTCTGCAAGTCTGGACTCCCGTTCAAACTTACAAAGTCCGGACTTAACGAGAACGCGAGTACGGACTTGCGTACTTGAGAATTGAGAAACGGCCCAGGTCTCGTGTGTCTGTGAGTTATGCCTCCAGTTAGATAACACCCACAACCTCCAATAATGGAACATGGTGTCAGAAGAAAACTGAAAATGTTATTTGGGCATAAGCGAAGGTTTTCGGCGTTGGGACCAGGTTAGAGGTCAGCCAAGGAGGAGCTGTGCAAAAGGAGACGTGACGATATGAGTCAGTATCCGGTCACCCCACAGAAGAAGTTCACTTTTAGGTCGGATGACTGGACAAAATGGATAAAGCATTTTGACAGATTTCGCATCGCGTCTAAATTGGAGACGCAAGCGGACGAAAATTAAGTGAAAACCCTTATCTACACTACAGGTGATGAGGCAGAGCACAGATTGGTATCCTTGCACCTGACTCCCGAGGAGGCAAGGGATTATGAGACCGTTAAAAGGAGGTTGGATGCTCATTTCGTAGCCCGCAGAAACATTATATTTGAGCGAGCAAAGTTTAACAAGACGGGTGAATCAATCGATCATCGCTTCCATACTGCACTGCATTGTCTGGCAGAACATGGTGGATACGGGGCTTTCCATGTCGTGGGTCTGAAAGACAAACGATTGCCAGAACAGTTACAAATGGACACAGAACTAATGATAGAGAAAGCGCTTAACAGAGCCAGAGGTGGCCCACACATGGGCCAGCACAAGGCCAGTTGCAGACACACTGGTGGTCCTGTGATCCATCTGTGGATTACCTCTGGCAAACCTGATCTGAGCCACCAAAGGGCCGTCATTCTTTGCGGCATGTGGGCCATGTGTAAGATGTGTGCAGCCACAGGCCAGTTGCAGACACACTGCTGGCCCTGTGCTGGCCTAGATGTCAGCCTAATGTGTACCTTAATCAAGCCATGTAATAACAACATGTGCTGGAACATAATAGTGCAAAAGTAACATGACGAAACTCTGTTCAGACAGTGAATGGACTGATTCTTATATTATGCTTTTCTACTCTCCCGCATTACTCAAAGTGCTCTATACAACATGCCACATATACCCAATCACGCACTTTCTCTAAACTGAGTGCTTCCTAACTACAGGGTGGGCCATTTATATGGATACACCGTAATAAAATGGGAATGGTTGGTGATATTAAAGTCCTGTTTGTGGCACATTAGTATATGTGAGGGGGCAAACTCCTCAAGATGGGTGGTGACCATGGTGGCCATTTAGAAGTCGGCCATCTTGGATACAACTTTTGTTTTTTCAATAGGAAGAGGGCCATGTGACACCTCAAACCTATTGGTAATGTCACAAGAAAAACAATGGTGTGCTTGGTTTCAACGTAACTTTATTCTTTCATGAGTTATTTACAAGTTTCTGACCACTTATAAAATGTGTTCAATGTGCTGCCCATTGTGTTGGATTGTCAATGCAACCCTCTTCTCCCACTCTTCACACACTGATAGCAACACCGCAGGAGAAATGCCAGTACAGGCATCCAGTATCCGTAGTTTCAGGTGCTGCACATCTCATATCTTCACACCATAGACCAGCGGGACACACCTGTGGTGGTGGCGCCCAGGCCCAGAGCAGCGCCACCAGCTCCCCAATTCTTTCCAGGTGGCGCTCGGTCTGGTCCCGCCTGCTCTTGCTGGGCGGCCGCCATTTCGGCCACCCTCTGGGCCATCTCCTCCCTTCCCTGGTTCCGGTAAGGATCTGCCGTGCCACCTCCTGTGTTTCGGCACCAGTGGTGTGAATAAGGCACGGCGGGACCACAGAGCATCACTTAGAGCCATTTTATTCAATCACATCACACCACAACACACCCCAACCCCTGAGTCCCCCCGTGATTAAGGATGCCGTGCAGGTGTGTCCGCCCTCCCTGCACAGCACCGCAGACTACGCCCCACCACAATATTTTTATTTATTCACTCCACATAAAATGTAATAAATAAATTATATAATACAAAAACCAACTATTTAAATTTCAACTTTTAACTATTTAAATTTTCAGCTTTTTCTTTTTAAACAAATTTAAAGTGAAACAACACAAAACACTGCAAACCACAACACAATTAAATATGTTGTTGTTCCTGGGTCTCTTTCACTCTCTTTCCTTCCTGCTCTGTTCCTGTGCTACTGAGAGTGTAACTACTGCCCTTCCCCCCTCTGCCCAGCGCAAAGCACAAGGCTCGCATGCGGAGTGAAGCGGAAAAGAAAGAGAGAAAGAAAAGACAAAAAAAACTCGTTCATGACCGACACATCACTATCACAAACATGTCAAATCTGCATTTGAAATGTTGGCTACTGTAGCAGTACAGTATTACAACATGGCATTTGGGTCTTCTAACTAAAATAGGAAAATAGGAACATAAATAGTGCCATTGCCAGACCTGGCCCACATCTGGTTGACATACACCATGACACCGGTCAGTCAGAAGTGCCAGCTTGATGCCGGAATCTCGGCCAGACCTGTTTTCCATGAGCCAGCCTTATGCCGACTTGACACCAGATCCGGGTCAGATCTGTTTTCTATGAGTCTCGGCCACATACAACAAACCACAATCGAGCCAGATATGGCATGCCATCACATAGACAGTGCCATCTATGCCAGACCTGGCCCATATCTGGATGACATACGTCTTATTGTGCCAGAAGTCGACCAACAGTGCCAGCATGGGAGACTACAGTATGAGCAAGATGTGGTAGAAACCAGTTGTGTTAAAGGGAAAGAAAACAAAAAAGAAGACCCTAGAGATAATACAAACAGCAAACAGGGAAAAGCACAAC